ACAATTCGAAGTTGGAAAATCAACCGTCGTGCGGCGGTTCTGGAGTCAGGGCTGGCTTGCATGGGTGCTGGCTACGAGGGTCGCTCTTCTGCGGAGAAGAATAAACGCCATAAGCACAAATGTTTGGCGCTCCGCGCGGGTTTCTTGGATCCGCGCTGGGCCCCCCCGGCGGCGCCTCCGGCGCCGCCCCTGGCGCAGATCCGAGAAATCCGCGCGGAGCGCCAAAAGGTTATGTTTACGCAGTTGTTTTCTTCTATACTCGCAAACGTCAGAAAAAAAAGAGCACATGTTTGCCTCGATGTCATGGATCGTAAATCTCCAGCGGCGGATCCAGGCCATCTGCGAGCAGTTACGTTGCGAGTAGTGGAGCGCGCTTGTTTAAAAGCTCTGGTGGGAGCTCGCGCCATACGTAGCGGCTAAGATGCACATCGCGAGAGAACTGAGCCTGCCAGCGGGTGCCCCACGGAGATCTCTGATTCCCCGATGGCCCCGGGCCCCAGGAAGTTCTAAGATGGACGACGAGAGTGCCCACGAGTTTCTTCCGGCAAGATTCCTGATCGATGTGGCTGCTGTGCTCCGGTCGGGGAAACGTAAGACTCCAGTACGCCGGAACTCGGGTTTGCCGACGCTTTTTGGCGAGCGAGTCCTGGATTTTGACGGTCCAGTCTTCGTGGGATGTCTGCAAGGGGAACTCGCGTCAAATTTCAGAGTGGGTCTCGTCATTTTCATGATGGTCCCGTCAGGCCAACCCGAGTCCAAAGAACCCGCGTCTTACGTCTCCCCGATCCGTCTGCCACCATTCCCGATTGGAGTCGCCACGTCCACGGCTGCATCGGATTGTGCAGCTTCGGCCACTCCAGTAGGCAATTCAGAGGGGGAAGAAGCACAGACACGATGAATCGTCGACCCCCCAGAAATTACCCTGCGACGTACCCAACCCAATGGCATCAAGTGGCAAGCGGAGTAGGGAAACATTAGCAGGAACCGTGACAGTGCAGGCGCGGCGATTTGTAGTGCGACCTACATGGGATGCGTAATGTTGTACGACTCACAGAACAGCAATCGATAAGACGAGGAGTATGTCTCAAGGCTTGTTAAACAATAGCGGGGGCGGGAACGAGGGACAGGAGAAGGACGAACCCAGTAGGAAGGGGCGAGGAGCCATCGCAGCAGCAGCACCATGAATGGAGAATGTAACAGGAGGACTAGGGCGGCGATGATGAAAGAGGAGGGAGGAAACAAGAAACTGATTCGTTTTTGCAGGAGCTCGGTCAACGCATGCCTGCTGCCTGTCCACAGGATCATACCTGTTTATATCTGGTGCAGGAAACGATCGAGACCTAGCTCTCGCGCCAGATTCTCTGCCTCCTTCCTGCATGTTGCAGTGCGGGAACTGAACTTCCGCAGTTTCTCCGCAAGGTCTGCCGGTGGGCCGCGGGCAAGAAAGTCAAGGCCGGGGTCGCGCACCATCAGTAGGTTGTCTAGCGTCGTCGCCCTGGACAGCATCACGTAGAGGTGCAGCCACAGAGCGTCCAGGTCGTTCGCATCCTTGCACCCTGCGTCAACAATGACTCCGCGGTGCATGGTGCGGCCCTGGCAGGCAGTGGACGTCAGGACCTCGGCGTGGGAGATGACGAAGCCAGTGCGCGTGACCTTGTACTTGCGGAAGTCGAACGGGCTCGAGCTCTGTGGCTCGATGAAGACGAGGCCCGCTGCGTTCGCAGCGTCGATGCTGTCATCGAGCTCCTTGAGCTTCTTTCCGCAGGGGCCACCCTTGTACTTGTCCATGCGCACCCACACGCCGCACGGCAGGTACCGCAGGTACGCCAGGGCTAGCACGTCTCGGTGATTGCCGCCGCCGCTGCAGCACGGGCCGGACTTCCTCCCCCCTTTCTTCTCCACCTCCACCCCATCGTTTTCCCCTTCCTCGTCTTCCGCTTTGCGATACTCGCGCGTTTCAAAATGGCGACCCAAAAAATTAATTTCACAACCTGGCGATGGTGTAAGAATCGGGAATGATTAGCGGGCATGATGGGCAACCTCGCTTCCAAGCCAAATCGCCACAGTGATCATTCATCATGCTCGTGGTCAAAAGAACTGAGTGACAAGAGAGCCCGAGGGGCAACCTCACCTCTGAAACGACCCGCGTCAGTGGTGACAGTTTCCCAGAATGGCAGCCCCCCAGGGACGGCGAGGTCTAATCTGAATCTGGGTGGTGCCTCACTCCGCGGGACTGACCAGCAGCCTTCGAAAGTGGTGACAGTTTCACAGATCGCAGCCCCCCCAGGGATGGTGAGGTCTAATCTGAATCTGCGTGGTGCCTCACTCCGGTGGACCCGCCAGCAGCCCTCGAAAGTGGTGACCGTTTCGCAGATCGCAGACCCCCAGGGATGGCGAGGTCTAATCTGAATCTGCGTGGTGCCTCACTCCGCTGGACCCACCAGCAGCCCTCGAATGTGGCGACAGTTTCGCAACCAGCAGCCCTCGAATGTGGCGTCCGTGTCGCAGATCGCAGCCCCCCAGGGATGGCGAGGTCTAATCTGAATCTGCGTGGTGCCTCACTCCGCTGGACCCACCCTCATCCCTCGAATGTGGCGACAGTTTCGCAGATCGCAGCCCCCCAAGGATGGCGAGGTCTAATCTGAGTCTGCGTGGTGCCTCACTCCGCTGGACCCAGCAGCAGCCCTCGAATGTGGCGTCAGTGTCGCAGATCGCAGCCCCCCAGGGATGGCGAGGTCCAATCTGAATCTGCGTGGTGCCTCACTCCGCTGAACCCACCAGCAGCTCTCGAAAGTGACGACAGTTTCGCAGATCGCAGCCCCCCAGGGACGGCGAGGTCTAATCTGAATCTGCGTGGTGCCTCACTCCGCTGGACCCACCAGCAGCTCTCGAAAGTGACGAGAATTTCGCAGATCGCAAACCCCCAGGGATGGCGAGGTCTAATCTGAATCTGCGTGGTGTCTCACTCCGCTGGACCCACCAGCAGCCCTCGAAAGTCGAGGTCTAATCTGAATCTGCGTGGTGCCTCACTCCGCTGGACCCACCAGCAGCCCTCGAACGTGACGACAGTTTCGCAGATCGCAGCCCCCCAGGGATGGCGAGGTCTAATCTGAATCTGCGTGGTGCCTCACTCCGCTGGACCCACCAGCAGCCCTCGAAAGTGGTGACAGTTTCGCAGATCGCAGCCCCCCAGGGATGGCGAGGTCTAATCTGAATCTGCGTGGTGCCTCACTCCGCTGGACCCACCAGCAGCCCTCGAAAGTGGCGACAGTTTCACAGATCGCAGCCCCAAAGGGATGACGTAAAAGGCAAGAGAGAAGAGGAGGAGCGAAGAGAGGAGGAGAAGGGAAGCAAGAGAGGAGGAGCGAAGAGAGGAGAAGGGATGCAAGAGAGAAGAGGAGGAGCGAAGAGAGGCGGAGAAGGGAAGCAAGAGAGGAGAGGAAGAGGGAAGAGAGGAGGAGGAGGCGGGAAGGAAGGAAGGTGGAGACCGCAGTGCTCTATTCAAAACGAGTACCCAACGCAAGAGGGTTGGGAAAAAACATGGGAACATCTGCTATGGAGTGGGGGGAAGACGAACATCGAGTAAACAAGAGAAAGTATGGGGACTCCTGGGTTTTGTGTGCATTCGTGCGTGTATGTCCAGTGAGCTCCCCGCGCCCGCTGCCTCTCAGGCGGGCGGTCGGCTCGGGAGGCAGGGGCGTCGTCTTCCATTGTTGCCCCTCCTCCTCCTCCTCCTCCTCCTCCTCCTCCTCCTCCTCCTCCTCCTCCTCCTCCTCCTCCTCCTCCTCATCCCGGGCCCCCCTTCAAACAGGTGGTGCACGTCTGGGCGGGCGCGGGGCTCCCGCGCGCGTGCCGCGCCTTCCTCGGGCGCCCTGCCCCCGTGCACGTCTGGGCACGCCCGCCTGCCCTCCGCAGGCGCGCGTGCCCGGCGCGGCGGGCCCCGCAGGCGGGTCGGGCGTGTCCTCCTGCAGGCGGGTCCTGTGAGAGAGAAGTACACCTTAGGCGATGCTTAAGAAAGCTAAATTTTTCGGCCAGGGTCTCGATGATTCTTCATGTTTCCATGTAAATCCTAAGATTTCGATGGAAATTCGGGGCTTCTACTCAAGTTCTGAGACTATGAATTTCTTAACCCATGATTTCTTAAGCATTTCGCAGGGTGTAGAGAAGAGTCGAATAACAGTCCAAGACAGTCAACACAAACAAAACACGGCACATCGTCACCAAGTCGTCGCCAGACTATCGTCGGGCGTGTTTTGGGAGAAAGAAATAGAAAAGAAAGAAAGAAGGAAGCAGAAATAGAGAGAAAGAAAGAAACAAAGCCCTACAGGCGGGTGTTGGAAGAAAGAAGTAGGGAAGAGTCAAGTAACAGTCCAAGATAGTCAATAGCCTTCATGCAGAGGGACATGCCCGACTTAACACCCAGATCATTTGCTCGCAGGCTCAGCCCAGTGTGCCTCGGGCTTTTTGGCGAACGGCGTCGATGCAGTCGAATCTCGAAGAAAGCGCAATAAACATACGCTTTGGGTGCTCTGCGCGAATTTCTTGGATCTGCGCTGGGCCCCCTGGCGGCGCCTCCGGCGCCGCCCCTGACGCTCCCCGCGCGCCGGGGAGGGGGGTCCAGCTCAGATTTAAGAAATTCGCGCGGACCATCGGAAGTCTTATGTTTGTGCCGTTTTTTGTTCCTCTAGAATCAGGGACCATTTCGGGCTCGGAGGGGAAGGAGGAGGAGGAGGAGGAGGAGGACTCTGGTCTCCAAGCCTTCTCCGTAGATCTCTCGGCCCGGGAAGCTGTTGAAGCTGTTCGTGTAGCCGAGGCTCGCCGTCTCCACCAAAGCCCCTCTGTTCCTTGGACCTCGTCCCTGCGGCCTGTGGCAGCACGAGGACCGCAGTGGTTGCGCTTACGGCCACTGGTTGCCATCGCCGTGCTGCGTGCTGCCTGCCTGCCTGCGCCCCCTCCGCTTCCCCTTCCTCCGCCTCCGCCTCCGCCCCTTTTCCCTCCCCATGCTGCTCCTCCTGTGTTTTTCCCCCTCCACGTCCACCTCCACGTGCCCTCGCCTCCTACTCTGCCCGATGCCCTGCGCGTGGGCAGCCATGGAGCAAGCGGACCAGAAGCAGATCAAGCAGATGGCCACGTTCATGATCTCGGAGGCGAAGGAGAAGGCCGATAGGGGATTAGGGGCGGCTCTCCGCTGCTTGCGTTCCGTGCCCAGAATGATGACCTGCCTTTTTCCCCGTCCTTGCCCTGCTGCTGCTCCTACTCTTGCTTAGTCTTGCGTGGTGTCCTCCGCCTCCCTTCCTCCTCTTCCTCCTCACCCTCCTCATTCTCCTTCGCCTCTTCCCTCTTCTCCTCCTCCTCCTCCTCCTATTATTACTCCTACTCCTACTCCTACTCTTCTTCCTCCTCCTCCTCCTCCTCCTCCTCCTCCTCATTCTCACTCTCCTGCTCCTCGATGCTCGATGCTCCGTGGCCAGTTTTGCTCAAGGCGATGGTTTCTTTAGAGGGAGAAGTTGTTGCCGGCAGTCCGGCAGGCAAGACTTGCTCATTCCTCGCACGAGGCGCTTGGGGCGGTGGGTAAACGGAGGCATTGCCCGTTCCGGCCGCCCCGAGCGCCCACCAGTGTGTGATGGCGGCTGCTCGCGAAGGTGGTGGTCATCGCGCTCTCTCTTGGTGGGGCAACCGCGGCCGTCGCCCAGGCTCCAAGTGGGGTAAGTCGGATACGTGGGTCTTCCAGCCAGCAGATGAAACAGGATCGTATGCAGTCCGCCTGGCGGAACAAACGTGCTCAGTCCTGCGACGTGCGCCAGTCTTGCGGACATCCAGATTACAAGAGCAGGGGACACACCAAGTGCTCAAAATGCGGCGGCGCCTACACGTCGGAGGCAATGGCGTCCGAACGAAAATCCTATGAAGATATGGTCGAACAGGAGCATGATGGAGTTCCTGATGAGATTCGAGAAGGAGCAGCCAAATTGCTGGCCGATCGTCCTGAGTTGCAGGCAAACCTCGGCGAGGTCATGCCCTTCTGCGAGCCCGCGCCGCTGCTGTCTGCTGCTCAGTGGCAGAGCGCTGCCAACACCGACGATGCGATGCTTGCCAAACGAGTGAAGGATGCATATCGCCAGGCATGCCTTTGCTGGCACCGGGTGGAGCAGAGGAAAGCGGAGATGCAACACAGACGTGCTCAACTAGATAAGGCTGCAAATTTGCGGCTCGCGGCAGAAGCATCGACTGGAGTCGGATCGAGCCCTGCAGGCCTTCTCGACCGAGGAGTGGCTCGAGGCTTGCAGTGAGGAGATCCGCAGGGCCAGCGAGGAGGAGGCCCGCGCCCGAGCGGCGCCTGCAGGGTGCGGCCCCTGCCGCGCCCCGGGCGGCTCGCCAGGCGGCGCCCACGGCTGCGCGGCCCACCTCTGCGGCCGCCTCCTCCGGCTGGTGGTGCAGTCCGTGATGGCGCTGGGCGCGCAGTTGGCGCCGCTGGTCTTCAGCTTGGTGGAGCCGTCGACTTCATGCAGGCGGACCCTCCTGGCTTCGTTGGCACGTCGGAGGAGGAGCCCGGCAAGCGGTCACGAGCGTCAGCCTCCGCGTCCCTTCTGGCAAGCGTTCAGGGTTGTGCGTGATGCCATTCATGAAGTTGATGACGGTGCCAGTGATGCTGACAGTGACTTAGCAGCGAAGCGGGAGAGGAGCCTGATGAGCTGCGGAACCATCTAAAGCGTGGATGTGAAGCCATACTCACACCCTAGGAGCATGAGCAGCTGGAGAAACTCACATTGGCCAATGTTGAGGCCGAGACGGTGAAGCGTGTGCGTGTGGCCAGATATGATTGCAACTCGAATCTCATGGACGTGTTCCAGGCTACAGCTGCCACTATGCCGGCGGCGCCGCACTTCGGGTTGCTCGCGTCGCGCTGCCGAGCAGGCCCCGATTGACCCGTGGAAAAAAAGCAAGAGATGCGTCCTCCTACCTTGCAAAATTACCTCGTGGTCAGCGGTTGCCAAGGATCTTTCTCCTGAGGTGCGGCAGCATGCAGTCGCATTTATGTTGTGGGGCATCGTTTGCCGGCGCCCGCGCTCCCCGCTGCCAAGAGAGAGCGTGCTGCCATGCGTTGGCGGCCGCACTGCCAGGCAGGGGGTCCAGCTGGCGGGAGCGGGAGTCGCGGCGCGGTCGGGATGTGCGTTCGCAAGAATATGCATCTTGAGCGCTTTTTCGCCAATGAAGTTCGGGACCTCGGCTTTGGAGTCGGTTGGATGCTCTTGGAGGGGCGAAATCTGGCCAGACGTCATCAGGTACATCGCTGGCAGTAGCACTTGCGAGAAAGGTATCAGTGGCCTCAGGTTCATGTCCGCTCCGCGAGTGTCCAACGTGAAGCTGGAGTCCAACATTATCTGCTACAGCGTTGGGGTCGGGCGTGCGAGAAAGACGGGCAGTGGCATCGGCTCTGTCGCTGCGCAGCGAGTGGTGGAAGGCGACGCTGCAGCCAGACGCTTTCAGCTACATTCCCGAGATCAGCGCGCGTGGGAAGATCGGGCAGTGGGTGCAGGCCCTGTCGCACCACAGCGAATGCGACGGGCAAAGTTTGCTCCAGACGTCATCAGCTACAGCGCTGGGTCAGCACTCAACGCAGCCCGAGGTCCGCGGAGAGGCTCCCACCCGTCCCTCGGCGCCATGGCCTTCGAAGGGCCCACCCAATATTTCAATGACCTGAGCGGCAATCAGCTGCGACCCCCGAGGACCAACCACTTCCCTTATCCCACGGGTGCGGGGGCCTGGCCGAGGAGAGGGGCGGCTTTCCCCCCGCCTCTCTCCTTGAGGGCCTGGCGGGTGTCTCAGCGCGTGTGGCGGAGGCTGGAAGTGACATCGCACACTGCTATTACACAGAGGACTGCGGCAAGCTTTTTCTCGCCGCCAGGCAGGCGGGGGGGACGCTGTGGCCCACTTCCTGGGGCAGGAAGTGGGCCACAGCCTCCCCCCCGTCTGCCTGGCGGTGAGCGCGACCTTGCCTGGTCACCTCTCCGTCAAATACTGACTCATGCGGCGATCAGCTGCGACCCCCGAGGACCAACCACCCCCCCAGTCCTGTCCCACAAAACTTTCACATCAACGGCGTTTGCTGCGACCCTGGAGGATCAACAACCGATACTATTTGCTCTTGAGCGGCGATCAGCTGCGACCCTGGACCCAAGAGAACGACCATGGCCCCTGGCCCACGGATTCGGGGCCAGGCCGAGGGGAGAGGCGTTGCTTCCCCTCGCCTCTCCCCTCTCGGGCCAGGCGGGTGTCCCCCGCTCGTGGCCCCGGGGCCCGCCAGGCGTACTGTCAGACGTCGGTGTGGCTGCCCCCCCTCCCAGGGCCGCCCGTGTTCCTCGCTGCTCGTGGTCTGGCTCATCACTCTCATCGGCGGTTAGCTACGACCCTGGAGGACCACGTGGTGAGTGTTGGCGTTCCCCGGGTCTTGGGCGGAAGTGCCAAGCGGCGGACTGGGCCAGACTTTGCCTCCTGGCCCCCGTGTCTACCACAGTGCAGCTCCCCCAGGCGCATCGCCCTATCACACCGCAGAAGGCAGCACTACCACCAGTGCAGCCCCCCCTTACTCTCCCCGCTGGCGATGCTCACCACGCCAGCTGGTCTTCCCCCCCTCACTCTGAGGCCTGACGCCGTGCCGGCACGCACTGCGTGGCCCACAGTCGTTTGGTTCCCCCATGCACTGTGGGGTGGTCTATCGGGTGTTGGTGTCGCCACGGAGTGGTTCAGCCTTCCGCAGCAGCTACAGCACCCCAGGCTCATCCACCAGCTTCCGGCAGGTTGCGTTGCACCACGTTCCGCGACAGCTCAGCCCCCCTGGCTAGCAGACGTCGTCTAGGGCGTTTGGAGACTGACGCCCCACCGGCGACTCACTCCACCGGCCCCCCACTTGCCCCCACTCAGATTGACGGACTTGGTCATCCTGGTTCACGTCTCATACTGTGGCAGGCACCAAATTCCATGACATTTTGTCTGTGCGCGTGCTCGAGCTCTCAGGACACCCCTGCCGTCAGCTCCCCTTCAGCTTCGCGGCTGCCTTGTGAGCGGGCCGGCCGGCCTGTGCCTGTTGTAGTTAATTAGCCTCGTTCGTGGCCCAGACGTTGCCTTTACCGCCTGACCCTGGTCTTGCGGCCGCGACCAAGAAAGTAAACCCACCAGCCCATCCAGAAACGATGCCCAGAGGAATTGCTTCGATCAGGGAAGTGGGCAGCACGCAGAGGAAGGGTCCCCCAGTGGAGGCCTCTTGGAGCGTCTTGGGGTCCTCTTGGCGGTCCTGGACGCCTCTTACAGCGTTTTGGGTGCCCCAGAGAGCTTCTTGGTGCCTCTTGGGGGTTCTCTTGGGGGCCTCCTGGAGGCCTCTTGGGCGCGTGTTGGGGCCTCCTGGGGCCTCCCGGGCGCCTCTTGGGGCCCTTTTGAAGCGCTCTTGGGAGCCTTGGGAGCGCTCTTGGAGCCCTCCTGGGCCATCTTGTAGCCATCTTGAGGCTTCGGATGGCCATCGGAAGCGAAAAGGCGAGAAAACCAAACCACTGATTGTCCTGAGTTTGGGGGAGGAGTTTGGCCTCTTCGGGGCCTCCTGGGGGAGCTCTTTGGCAACTGGATGCCGTTTTGGAGCGGTCTTGGGGCCTCGTCGAGCATCGTGAAAGCCATGTTGAGGCATCTTGGGATATGTTGAGCCATCCTGGAGGTCATCTTGGGCTCTCCCAGGCGCTCTTGGAGTCATCCTAAGTAGTGCCCCCCCCCAGGAGGCCAAACTGTGGCCAAAACCTTAGGATGATTTTGGTATTGTCGCCGAGGCCTCTTGGAGCGTCTTGGGTGCCTCTGGGGGGCCTCTTGGGGCCTCTTGGGTCTCTTGGGAGCCTCTTGGGGGCATCCTGGGGGCCTGCTGGGGGCCTCTTGGGGCCTCCTGGGACCCTCTTGGGGCACCTTTGGGAGCCTTGGGAGCGCTCATTGGGCCATTTCGGAGGAGATCGATCCAAAAAGAGGGTTCCTGAATTTGTGTTGCCCCCCCAAGAGGCCAAAATGGGACCAAAATCCAAGTAGAACCAATGATTTTGGCTTCCTCGCCGAGGCCGTTTTGGACGTTCCGGCGACTCGCAGAACGCCCCGTCCAGGTCCAGGGGAGGGAGTAGGGGGAGGGGTAAACCCATCTCCGAAGGGGAAGAAGGGGGTGGAAGAGGAAACACCCCAAACCACCTACGCCCTAAAGGGCTGGTGGGACTTTTGGGATCGATGTCGCAGGGACTGGAGGAGGCCGCCGAGACACGCGGTTTCGTCCTGGGGAGTGGGGGGGGAGGATGAGGGAGGATGGGGGGAAATGAGTATGCGCGAGGGAGACGGGGCGAGGGAGGCCGCCGACTCTGACGGGACACCCACGCGTGCGGGAGCGCGATGTCGTCCACAATCGTCGTCGCCACCGCCATCGTCGTAGTGATCGTCGTCGTCGTCGTCGCCGCCGCCACCGCCGCCACCGTCGTAGTGATCGTCGTCGTCGTCGTCGTCGTCGTCGTCTACGTCGTCTACGTCGTCTACGTCGTCTACGTCGTCTACGTCGTCGTCGTCGTCGTCGTCGTCGTCGTCGTCGTCGTCGTCGTCGTCGTTTCCTCCTCCTCCTTCTCATCCTCCTCCTCCTCCTCCTCCTCCTCCTCCTCCTCTCACCATCGTCGTCCTGGGCATGTCAGGTCATCCCAGTGCGCCCTGGCTGCGGCAGTCCGCAGCAGTTTCGGCTCAAGGTACGTGCCGGTGTTCGTGCGCCGGGTATTCACTCGTGCATGGTGCGTCGCAGAGCGCCGCGGCTTATGGGTTCATACAAGGAGCTAGGCCCAGACGAGGGAGCAAAGTTTTTGCAGTATGCGCCTGGTTGGCGTCGTACGCAGCCAGATGTCATGACATGCTTGGCAACGGCGTTCCAATGCCCGTTGCACAATGAGACCTTGAGCATCTGGACATGCGTTCTCCCAGTTCCCATTCTTTTCTACCTCGTCGTGGCTGGCTGGGAAGCTGCTCGCGGAGACCCTGTGTGGCATGTCGTTGAATGCAGTCGATTCTTGTGCTGCAGCCTTGGCTGGGCCGCGTCCGCGCTTTACCATTGCCTGTACTGCCATCCCAACAGCGCACTTGTGGCAAGCCTCAGGCAGGCAGACTTCGCGGGCTGCTTCCTGCAAGGTTATGGCCTCGGAACTTCACTGCTGTATGCGGTCAGCCATTCTTGGGCAATCATGCTGCAGATCGGTATCCACGCACTTGGCACTATCGTGCTCGCTGGCGCGGTGTGGGCCTGCGTCGACCTGTCTAAGACTGTATGGTGGCGGGCCGGCTTCTTGCTTGGGGGTGCGCTGACGTACCTCGTTCCGGTCACTATTGGGCTCTGGCAGCTGGCGAGCATCGACGCTGCGCTGGAGGTGGCCTATGCCATCTGCAGCATGCTGGTGGGACTGGCCTTCTACCGGAGCTTCTTCCCGGAGTGCGTCTGGCCTGCCAGCTGGTGGACGAACTGTCTGCTGCAGTCCCACGTGTTCTGGCACTGCGGCGCCTTCGGGTACAACTCCTTCCTGTCGCGTGCAAGCTGCGCCGCCATGTCTGCCGGCAGGGCCTGAGCCCACAGCCCAGCCTCGGAGGCGAGCCGCGCCCACGAGGCACCGCGCCGCTCGGCCGCTCCGGATCAGGGTGGCTCCGTGCAGCCTCCAGGGTGCACGAGGCGACTCGCCATGCACGCCACTGCCTTCGCCAGGCACGGGTCGGGAAGGATGCCGCCCCCAGCATCGAGGATACAAGAACCCCGAACCCCAGGAACGAGCCCCTGTCCCCGATGTCTTCGGCCCTCCTAACTTAGGCCCCCTCGCAATGGGTTGGGGGTCCTTTTCCGGTTCGTCACCCCAGTCGAAAGTCGCTGGCACTGCCTTGCGCAAAGGGTCGGAGGAGGACCAGTGGAGACAACGCCGTCTCGGCCGCCCGGCCCACTCCGCGCAACATCGGCCCCCAGACCTCTCTCTGGATTCCATCCTGACCCGCCCTTCGAGGCGGTTCCAGCCGTGGCGACGAGAAGCCTCCAGCAGGCCCACTTGTGGGGTCCAAACCCGAGGTAGCAGGGCGCCAGAAGGGCGTGGAAAGGCCTTGCGAAGAACTCTGGAAGGACCTGCAGGAAGCTCCCGAAGGACCTTCTGGAGAGCTTCCGGGCGCGCGTGTTGGGAAACGCTTGGACAAGGCCTCTCAGGACCCGCTGCGAGTTCTCAAGCAGGGCGCTGCGACGCTGGAAAACGGAAGCCAGAACGATCTCCGGGGCTACCCTGCGGCTCCGGCTTCTTGATCTGAAGCCCTCCCAGAGATCCGACGTCGTGATTTTCTCAATGCGGGCCCCCCGGAGGTCTCGACCCATTCCCCAGGACCGGGTTTCCATCCTGAGTCGTTTTTTGACTGTCCCGGGGCCCGGCGAGGGCCCCTTGACGCCGAACCTTGCGAAACAAATTGCGTCTTGATTTTTTCAATGCGTTGGATCTCTGGGCCCTTAGCTCTCTGCGAGCTATAGCCGGGAAACAAAGGATGCAGAAGGCCCAAACATGACAGAAGACGCCAGAGAGCGCCGCGGGCGTCTCGGCCGGCCCTCCTCCGATCGGGGGGGCGCAGCGGCCACGTTGGCTGCCAGGGCCGCCGCCGACAGCCCTGCGGCGCCGGCAGGGGCAGGCTGCCGGGGCAGGTGGTGGAGCCCAGCGCTGCGAAGAAGTGCGCGGCGCGGTCCCGGCGAAGGGGGCCAGGAGTCTCGGGGCCTTCCAAAGCGGGCCCGGGTAATTTGGATCGGAAGATCGCGCCGCATCGCCGATGCGGCCCGGCGTGGAGCCCAATTTTTTCTCCACGCCGACAGCGCCGATGCATCGCCGATGCATCGCCGATGCGGCGCGATCCTCCGACCACATCTACTCGAACCGCATGTGGGAAGCTTCTGGAGTCGGGAGTGCGCGGACGTGGGAGAACTTCATCAACAGGGCCGCCCTCTCAGAACGAGAGGTCGGGGACGGCGCGGGGGAAAGTTCGCAGCCAAGTCCAGGGAGAAGATGGAACACAGAGTCGGAAGGTGCCGACGCCATGGAGGACGAGGACACCAGTGGTTTGCCTTGGGCCGGGTGCACAGAGTTAAGCTGGGTGATACTGGCCACGCGGGCAGCCCGAGGTTGCGCTGATGCGAACTGAGTGCGCCCTTTGAGCAGCAGCCGCGGCGGATGCAGCAGGAGGGAGGAGGAAGGAGGGAGAGAGGAGGGTAGCAAGGAGGGAAGGAGGGGCAGCGGCGCGGAGAGGCGAAAGGAGGGAGGAGGGAGGAGGGAGGAGGGAGGAGGGAGGAGGAGGAGAGAGGGGGAGGGAGGAGAGGGGCAGGAGGGAGGGGGGGGGATGCCGCGCGTGGGATCCATCCCCCCCCCCCCCGCGCCCGCCCCCTGGGGCCGCGCCCGCGCTCGCGCGCGCCGCCCCGGGGAGCGGCTGGCCTTGCCCGCCCGCGCGCAGCGGGGGCCGCGGGCGCGGCGCGGGGGCGGGGGCCCACCCGAAGACGAGCGGGGGCCAGCCGCCTGGGGCACCGGGAGGCGGCAGAGGGAAACGAGCAGTGGAGGTCCCCCCTCTCCCTCCCCCAGACTCCGTCTCCTCCTCCTCCTCCTCCTCCTCCTCCTCCTCCTCCTCCTCCTCCTCCTCCTCCTCCTCCTTTTCCCCGTCCTAGTCGCTACATCCAGAACTCCTCCTCCTCCTCCTCCTTCTCCTTCTGCTCCTCCTCCTCCCCCTCCTCCTCCCCCGCCCACTCCTCCCCCGTTCCCGCGTCGGTAGTCGCTGCGCTCCTCGGCCCTCCCGCCACCCAGCCTCCCATGCTCCCGCTCGCTCCGACCTGGGCGGCAGAGGGAAGCACCTCGCGGGCACTCTCCCTCTCAAGGTAAGTGCAGACGCGTCGAGGCAAATCGGAGTGCGCCATGGCGAATCCGGGTGAGCCCAGAGAGGAGGCCGAGGGGAACGAGTCGTGGGCACTCCCCTTCTCCCCCGGGCGCAGAGTTGGCACGGCGCGGGGGAGGCTGCGGTCGAAGTGCAGCTCATCAGGCCCACCTGCCAGCTTCGAGCAGTGGGGGAGGGGGGAGGCGTGGGCCGATGGATGTGGCACGAGTGTTCGCTGTGTTTGCCCGAGGCCTGGATGTTCGACGATCGAGCCGTCGGCGGCCAGAGGCGGACAGCGAGACGCAGACGCCATCAGGCATGTTATGCCGCGCTGCGCAGTGCCGTGGGTGGGCAAACATAACGCGGAGAGGACTCGTAGCTTCGGAGTTTCGCCATTCAAGGTCCGCGGGTTCCAAGCTGGGCACGATGGCGGCAGTCGCCGAAAATGCAAAACCTATACGCGAACTATAAGTTGTTCGAGCCCGAGATTATCGTGCCCCGCACTGCACTCCGTCTCCTTGAACGGCGAAATTTCAATTCTATGATTCGGTTTTGCGTCAGCTTCTTACATTCACGGTATCACGATGGCGAACGTCGCTGAGGTGAGGCCTACGCTCAGGCACCCAGCGGCCAAAAGGACAGGTACCAGACAGAGCGCGGCAGGCACGACACATGCGACCAGTACGGCACACATCACAGCAAGTGCGATACCAAATGCGACAAGGACGAGCAGCCCGCGGCGTTGACCAAGTTCATTGTCGTGCAGACACCAGTCGGCAACGGCCAGCCACGACGCCCACGACGATTACAACTACAACGGCCACAACGAGCACAACGGCCACCAGGCACCGGGGCCAGCTGCTGCTGAACTACGAGAGCCACCGGCAGAGCTACGAGGGGCGCCAGCAAAGCTTCGAGGACCACAGGCTGAGTGTACAGTGGTCACGGGCGGAGCCACCAGCAGAGCTTCGAGGGCCACAAGCTGAGCTACGAGGGCCACAGGCGAAGCTGTGAGAGTCAGCTGAGCTTCGAAGGCCACAAGCTGAACTACGATGGGGCACAAGCAGAGATACGAGGTCCACCGGTAGAGCTACAAGGGCCACCAGCTGAGCTACGAGGACCATAAGCTGAGCTATGAGGGCCGCGAACGGGGCTGCGAGGACCACCTGCTGAGCTACGCGGGACAAGCTGAGCTTCGCAGGCCACCATCCGAGCTACGAGGGCCTCCAGCAGAGCTACCAAAGCCACAAGCTGAACTAAAAGAGGCATGAACAGAGCTTCGAGTGCCACCACCACAGCTACGAGAGCCACAGGCTGAGCCCAGAGGGCCGCAAGCAGGGCCCCGAGGGCCACCAGTGAGCTGCGAGAGGCACCAACGCAGCCACGAGGGCCACCAATTGGGCTGCGAGAGCCACCACATGAGCTACGAGGGCCACCAGCTGAGCTACATGGGCCATGAACTGAGGTACGAGGGCCACCAGCAAAGCCACCAGGGCCACCAGGAGGGCTACCAGGGCCACCAGCAGAACATCCGGAACAACGAGCAGAGCTGCCACCGGTAGGGCTACGAGGGCTACGCGCTAAGCCTCGAGGGCCACAAGCAGAGCCACGAAGGACTCCTGCAGAGCCACGCGATCCGCCAGCAGAGCTACGAGGGTAACCGGCAGAGCTACAAGAGCCTCAAGCAGAATCTCTCGTGCAACGCGCAGAGCTACGAGGGCAACAGGCAGAGCTACAAGAGCCCCAAGCAGAATCTCTTGTGCGACGCGCAGAGCCCCGAGGACCACTTGCGGAGCCGCAAGAGATGCAGGCAGAACTGCGAAGGCTACGTGCAGACCTCCCCAGGCAACGCACAGAACCACGAGGGCCACCTGCAAAGCTACCACCTGCAGGGCCACCTGCAGGGCCACCTGCAGGGGTGCGAGGAGGGATGAGAAGACCGATCGCTGCCGGCGGCCCAAAGTAGGGCAACTGGCGTACTGGGCCCGAGCGAACAGACCCTACTAATTTGCTAGACAGACGCGCGGCCGTGCAGCCCGACGCCCCCGTCGAGCCCCCGGCGCTTTCCACCGCAACACGGAAACGAGCACAAAATCGCCCGATTTTTTCATGCGCAGGAAGACGCAAAAACAACAATGCATTCGCCAACCTCAAGCCGCAGATAGCCGCTCCTTCTGGAAATACGAAGAGAGATGCAGTACTTGTTTCTCACCGGCCACCTTGGGCGCCGAGCTGCCCAAGACGAAGCGCGGCAGGGCTGGTGAGAAGGCCGGCCGCGTGCACTGAACGGCGAGGTTGGCCAGCCCGAGGCCAGATTTCTGCCGCCCTTGGGGCCGCCGCTGGACCCCAAACGGTGTGTCCTCAGCCTCCCGGCGCAAGCCCTGTCGGCCGGCGCTCGAGGTTTTCCCCCCGGGGCGCTGTGTTGAAAGGGTCCCCTGGCTGGGCCCAGGCCAGCTGCCGGCGCGGCTACACTCAGCACGTTTTGCCGTTGCGCCATGTGTTTTCCTTTTTCGAGCACACGTAAGTGCGACCCTTCGCCCGAGTGGCCCTTGGTGCGGGCCCACTAGGGTCCTCCGATCGCCGGGCGCGATGCGATAGTAGCGTCTTGCGCGCTTGTGTTTCGTCACCCCGCGGCCCCCCCAAACCGCGCACCAAAGGTCTCTTTACCCAGGGTCGCTCTTGCGTGTAGCCGACTCTTCCCTCTCTGGGAAGGCTGTGCCCGCGTGTGTGCAGCTGTCCGCGATACCTGCGCGCGCCCGCGGGCACGCGGTGCGGGCTGTCGCGGGCCAAGGTTGTCCGCCAGGGGCGTGCGTGGTAGTTAGCAGGAGATGGGGCGTTTTTTTGGTTGTTGTGGGGGAGGGCGAGGGAGGGGGGAGGAAGGAGAGACGGGGAGGGCAAGCTAGGTGCGCTCGCGTCATATCTGACGTCCTGCCCCTCCCTCCCATCCCTTTATCATGGCGTAGATCTCCTCTCTATTCGCACAGTCGGATGTCTTCGCATGGCATACCAGTACGTGGCATAGTACGGTGTTGAAAACCAACGCGTAGCTTGACATAGCATGGCGTGGCGACGCCCCAAAGTGAGTGGGGGCTACCGCGGCCCCCAAAATCAACAAATCGACACCGAATGTGTATATCACTTCCGATGGTTGCTTCGGGGGGGGGGGGCATTTTTTAGATGTTGGAGTTTGTTTGCTGGAAATAGTGACGCCAGCGCTGCAGCAGAAGCACGATTCGGAACGAACGGAAGCGCAGAAACGAGGCCAGCGCTGCAGTTGGAGCACGATTCGGAGGACGCGTAGCCTGACATAGCATGGCGTGGCGACGCCTCAAAGTGGGGGCTTTTGCGACCCAGTAAAACAACGAATCGACACCGAATGTGTAGTCACTTCCGATGGTTGTTTTCGGGAGTTAGTTTCTAGATTTTGGTGCTTGGTTGGAAGGAACGAAAACCATGCCGTGGCATGGCGCTGGAAATAATGACGCCAGCGCTGCAGCGGGAGCACGATTCGGAACGAGGGGAAGCGCGGAAATGAGGCCAGCGCTGCAACGAGAGCACGATTCGGAACGAGTGGTGGCCCAAAATGCGGGCAGCGCTTCAGCGAGAGCGGCATTTTGAAAAAATCCCAGCCAGAACCCGTTTCCCGGGAATCTTGTGTGTAAAAAACCGTGCGCGGAGAGGCACCGAAAATTTCCCAGACGTCACCAGGAGAAGGAGGAGAATGTAATTGTCGAGGGAGGGGGCGTGCGCGCGTGGTGGTACGGAGGGGCGGAGGGCGGAGGAAGGGCGTGAGGAGGGGATCGAGTTGGGAGTTCGGGGGGCCTTTTGTTTCGCGGGAGTTGTGGGGGGCCTTGTCGGGGGCCCTTTTTTGTCATCATCATCATCATCACCATCGTCATCATCATCATCATCATCATCATCATCATCATCATCATCATCATCATCATCATCATCATCATCATCATCATCATCACCATCGTCGGCCGTCGTTCGTCGTCACGGTCGTACCACGGAATGGCGCTCTCGTTCGGGACCTCCCCGCACGTGACCCAGGCATCGCGACCTCCACCAAGTTTGCTTTCCGATTTACTCCAGAATCTTAGTGGCCCGCCCGCCCGCTGGGGCCCGCAGTCGACACTCGTTGCCGCGTTCATGCCCCGGCCGCCCAACCCGCCCGTTTGGGGTCCGCCCGCCCGACCCGCCCGCTTAGGTCCGTTCCTCGTGTTTTCTTGCTCCTCATTCTTTTCCCCCCCCTTCTGCTCGCCTTACGACGTTCCATCCGACTTCAGCCTTGATCGTTTCGATATTTTTCCGGGTGCTCGAAATTGTTTCTGGGACGTGGCTCTTAAGTACGATGGGAGCAACGTAACTCTAGTCCTCCATCCTCCTCCTTCCCCCTTGCCCCTTTCCCTCCTCTCGTCACCGCGGAGCCCTCTCATCCCTGACCTCCTCTGAGGTCCGCGGCCCCTGGCGGCTGGCCCCCCCCCCCGAGGTGCTGTTCGGCCTCGGGCGGCGCTCTCCAGCACCGCTCCTTTGTTCCCTCCCTTCTTCTTTCTACTACCATTCCTGCCCTCGTTCTTTCCCCTCTTTCCCTTCCCCTCGCGCTTTCCCCTTTTTCCCTTCCTCGTTCCTTCCTCGCTCTTCCCCCCTTCTTCCCCCTCCACTTTTCCGGTTTTAGGAGCCGCGCCAACTGCGCGCGGCAGGCGAGGCAGCTATAATTACCCCCCTGAAGGGGGCACGGTCGAAGGCGAGGAGGGCGGACGTCGAGGGCTTATGACTCACATGTTGAACGACACGCGTGCGCATGACAACGAGCAGTCGTGAAGTGATGAATGCGGAATCTTGATTTCCAAAGGACAGTTGTTGAGTTGTTGGTGGTCGCCCCCCCCCGATGAGAGCGCATGCTCGTGCAGCTGACGTGCCGCTCCCTGGGGGCTCCGCGGCCTGCTTTCTCTATCCGGAAGGGTCTTGCGCGTCGGAGTGGGACCCTGGCCTCCGACCTGCAACAACGGCTCCCGCCTAGGGCCCAAGCCAGAGTTACCTCCGGGTAACTCTGGCTTGGGCCCTGGGGTAACTCTGGCTTGTGCAACAACAGATGCACCCTCACAGGGGGAAACCAGGCCAGCGAAACTGGCCTCAGCATGCCGCGGCACGCCGGGTGGCTTGTCTGACGGCACGAGCCTAAAAGCCGGGTGAAAATGCTGCCTCAGCCTGCTGGCCGGCTGAATCTGCTCAGCCCTCCAGCTGCCTCCTCCTCCTCCTCCTCCATACACCCTCATCATCTACTGGAGCATCTCGCGGTCCCGCTCGAGACTTCCATGCGGTTTCTCCCGGAATCGCGCTCGCGCTCGATATTTGCCTGACAGCTGACTCACGCCTCGTGTTCTCGGCGCTCTGCAACCGCTCTCTCTCATTCGGGATTGCGGCATGATTTGCAGAAAAAAAACGCGCTCAAACAGCGCGCTCTTTCTTGCCATCCCCTCTTGCAAAACCCTCTTGCTAATCCCGCTCGCCCTCCACATCTCCTTCCCTCTTGCCCCCTGCCCTCATCCCTTCCTTCCCTCACACCCTTCCTCCTCGATCTCTCCCTTTTTCATTATTTCTGTTCTTCTTGTTTTAGGGGCTGCGCCAATTACAAGTGGCAGGGAAGGAAGATACCCCCCAAAGGGGTCCGATCAAAGACGAAGAGGGCGAATTTCGAGGGCTTGGGATAGACATGATGGTTGACACGCGAGCATGTGAGAGCGAACAGTCTCAAAATTATTGCTACTGATGTAAATTGAATCCTGCAACGGGTCCCGCCCCCCCATCCCCCACCACGCCCACACCCCTGGATCACTGGGGATTCCAAGGGATCCCGAATGATTCGCGAGGATTCCGGAGGATCCCTTGGGATTCCTCAGGATTCTTGAGGGTTCCTCTGGGTTCATGAGGATTCTTGGAAATCTTCAGGATTCCCAAGGATTCCTGAGGATTCCCTGGGGTTCTTGCGGATTCCGGGCGATTCTTAAGGATTCCCAGGGCGTCCTGGAGATGCTTCAGGATTCCTCAGAATTGCGATGGCTTCTTATGGATCCCTTGGGATCCCGCGGAAGGTCTCGAGAGAGGAAGGTCTCGGCGCGGGTGCAGGACTCACGGGCAAGTGCGCGCGGCCGGGCGTGGGCGCATCTGCTACACGCACGCGGCATGCTCGCGCCGCCTCGACGCGGCGGCGCCGCCGGGGGCGGGCGTTCGATATTGACCACCCTCTGGGGAGGAGGAGGAGGAGGAGGAGGAGGAGGAGGAGGAGGAGGAGCAGGAGGAGCAGGAGGAGCAGGAGGAGCAGGAGGAGGAGGAGGAGGAGGAGGAGGAGCAGGAGGAGCAGGAGGAGCAGGAGGAGGAGGAGGAGGAGAGGAGGAGGAGGAGCAGGAGTTGTAGGAGGAGCAGGTGTTGGGCCACAGGAGGCAGTCCACGGCGCAGGGTCCGTGCGGGAGGCGGAGTCGAGGGAGCCTTTCGGGGACCCCGTGCGGCGGAGGCCGTGGCAGTCTGGGCGCTTCGCGCGGCGACAGGCGCTGGGACCCGCGCGGTCAGGGCAGGCATGCGCCGTACCCCCCTTATGTACGTGCGCGCGCTCGCACGGCATGCATGTCGGAGCCTGCGTGCCTCCGAAGGGGAACTGCTTCTCCCTGGGCGAACCGGCGGGCGCACACACACACACACACACTTTTTGAGCCGGCGGCTAGGCAGAAGGACTGCGCTGGCGGATAGGGCGTCGTGGGATAAACGAGCGCGAATTAGGCCGCGATGTACGAGCGGGGAGGAGGAGGAGGAGGACGCCCGGCGGTGGCGGAAGGGACACACACACACACACACGCACGCGCACACACGCACACACGCACACGCACGCACGCACGCACGCACGCACGCACGCACGCACGCACGCACACGCACGCACACGCACGCACGCACGCACACACACACACACACACACACACACACACACACACACACACACACACACACACACACACACACACACACACACACACACACACACACACACACACACACACACACACACACACACACACACACACACACACACACACACACACACACACACACACACACACACACACACACACACACGTCATGCAGTACGTAAGCACATTAGGTATGAGATCGGCCTGCCGGCGGGTGCCCCGCAGAAATTCCTCGTCCACCGGTGGCACCAGGGGCCCGCGGAAGCTTTGGGGCACGACGAAGAGAGTTCCCCAGCATATCTTCTCGCAAGATGTCTGATCGCATTTGCCTACTTGAATGTGTGCACACGCGTTCTCTCCTTTAGGCAAACACGTACGCTCCTATGATGATGCTGCAGGGCGCTGAGCCATGCAGAGACGGGCCAGGCTTTGGACATCCAGGAGAAGGGCAAGCAAGAACTGAGCATCGAGACGCACAGGCTGGTGGCAGATGGCAAGGAGAAGGTGCGCGGTGCGGCATCGCCAGCTTCTTGATTCGGGGCGCAGTATCTGTCCAGCAGTTTGCTGCCCCCGTCAGGCTGTTCCCTTTACGAAGCAAGAGTTCGATTGGAGGGGACACACCGCATTGAGGCGCGCCTTGCGATGGAGGCCACCCCCTACTGTTCCGAACCCGTGCAGTAATTGATGAGAGAGGGTGGGGGAGGGGGGGGGGGGAAGCTGATCTTGCGAGCATGTGACTTGAGCTTGCTCCTGGTAGGGAGGCCCCCGAACGAGACACGTGCAGCGTGACGTGACGCCGAAGTGGAGCGTGTTGCTTACCTTGCGAGGTGCTGGCATCCTACGAGAAGATGCGGAAGGAGCTCACGACGAAGCGCGCCATCGAGAAGTCTTTGGCGACAGCCCCGCGTCGAATCCGTGGCAGCTTCACTTATTACTTCGCTTTCTTAGCTTCAATATTTCAGGAGGGAAAGAAACACACAGACACAA